ACAATTCCTGTGGTGTTCACTGTAACTGGCCTTGTGCTTACATTTAATGGGGCAGAATGGAGTCAGAGTTGAGTCCAGATCTGACATTCTCACACTGAATTCTGGCAGTGAATTTATTTCTAAATTTGGTGATGCAGATTAAATGTTTGTATATATGTCTATTTGTGTGTCTACATGTTTAAGAGAAATTAAAAGTATAGATGTTTGCATAAGTTCAATTAAAATTGCTTGTACTATCTGCTTAAAAATTGCTTATACTATCTGCCCAAAAATTCACAAATTTTTTAAAAAACACCTAAATTCTCCCTCCCCAAATAAACTGTAATTCTCAATACTGAGAATAAACTGCACAATGCTTTCATTCTTATGAAGAATCAGTTCTGATTACACATCATGATAACACACCAAACTAACTTCAGATAATATTTATCATTCATCATAAAATTTACATAGCCACTCATCTCACCCTTGATAACATATAAGACAGTAATCATATAAAATAATTATTATTTAAAAATAAAAATTATAAAGCTAAGAGAGGATAACAGATCTTAAAAATAATGGAGTCACATCACTACCTTGCCAATCCCTTGGGGCCCCCAGGCAGGATGGCATGACCAGGTTTTGATTAATTAAAAATCAAGATGAGTCCTGGTTTTTCTAAGGAGAAAGAGAAGACTAAAGATTGCAATTGTGGATTGCAATAATACTTTAGACCAGTGGTGACGAACCTATGGCACGGGTGCCAGAGGCGGCACTCAGAGCCCTCTCTGTGGGCACATGCACTGTTGCCCCAGTCCTAGGCCTTCAGCTGGGTTTTATAAAACCTTTTTGCTTTAGGCCTCCACCGCCATGTGCAAAAAAAAAAAAAGTTCAATCAGTCAATTTCAACTTCTCACGGAAAAAAAAAGATCTTGCAAAGTTGGAATTGATTGAACTTTTTAGTCCCACCCAGTCTGCCGTTACTACCACAGACACGCCCACCCAATTTGGCCACACCCAGCCAATGGGCCACACCCACCCGGCACTCGACGATGCATAAGTGGGTTTTGGGTTGCATTTTGGGCACTCAGTCTCTAAAAGGTTCGCCATCACTGCTTTAGACTCATAAAGTATGCTTTGTTTTATTAAACTTATATTTAATAATACTTTAATTTATTTGATTTAAACAAAAATATAAAAGTTTACTCCAAAGAAAATATTAAGTTGTAAACGTATGGGAATCTAAATAATTAAAATATGGTTACAGTAGGATGCAAGTTCTTCAGAACATATTGGATAAAGTCTCCATTCTCACAACCATGTTGGACATCTAAAATTGGGAATAGATGTGTGGTTTCTATTGTTTAGCCCTGAACTGAAAAAGCTTATATTGCATGGAACATTAAAAGAATGTATTTCCAGCTGAATTTCACTTTTCAGATATGCCTTCTGTACTTCTAAAATATGACTCGATTACAAGAAGATAATTGACTGATACCAATTGCCTTGATATTATTTACTCATTACCTTAATTATTTTTATAACTAAGGTGGCAAACATACTTAAATGCAGGTAGTCCTCGACTTACAACATGTCATTTGGTGACCATTTGAATTTACAATGGCACTGAAAAAAGTGACCATTGCAGCATCCTCCATGGTTACATGATCAAAATTCAGATACTTGACTGATAACTATGATCATTGCAGTGTTCAGGGGTCATGTGATCACCTTTTGCGACCTTCTGACAAGCAATGAGGAAGCCTGATTCACTTAACAATCGTGTTATTAACTTAACTGCAATGATTCACTTAACAACTGTAGTAAAAAAGATCGTAAAATGGCACAAAACTCACTTAACTGTCTCACTTAGCAATAGAAATGTTGGGCTTAATTGCGGTCATAAGTCGAGGACTATGTGTTCTTCCTCCTCCCACTTACCCCACAACAATCGTGTGAGGTGGGTTGGGCTGAGAGAGAATGACTGGCTCAAAGTCACTTGGCTGGCTTTCATGCCTAAGGCAGGACTAGAACTCACAAAATCGCCTGGTTTCTAGCTCCGTGCCTTAATCACTCGACCAATTTGGCTTTCAAAAAATAATGACTAATAATCAGTAATAAGTCCTAAAACTTTTATTTTTTCAATGCACTTATTGAATAATTAAAAGCCAGGATTACTTAATATGATTTTTAAGTGGTAGCCAACATTTGAATGTGTGTGGATGAAGTTTTAGAATACTATTTGAAATAAGTGTTAAAGTTTTGATAGTGTTACAATTCCGTAGCTTTCCTTCAAATCTTCCTGCATGTATTGATCTCATCTCTGTGACCTAAGTGTGCCTTTACAGAAGTGATAGGTTTTGTGATGGGAAGAGAAAACCTGTCTCCCCATCTGATTCAGTGCCTACCCCTGGCATAGGAGGTGGAAAGATGGCACTTTACCGAGTTTCTCCTTGTCCCTTTCATAAACTGATGATTGTGTGTCAGGACCTCGATAATCTCGTCTGTCTTGGAAACTAAGAAGAATCATCCTGGTTACCGTAGTACTGGGGAGATTCTCTGGCCTGTCCTAGACAGGGAACCTAAAAAAGATCTCGGCAGAAGGCCGTGGAAATCTACTTCCCTAATGCTGCCAAGAACAACTCAGGGCATTCATTGTGTGTTAAATCACCACAATTTCTTTTCCACTGGCTAGAGATACCTTATTGAAGATTGCTAGTAGCCCTGTCGTTTCTATTACTGCTACTACTGCTGAACGCGTGGTGTGATCGTCCATCGACTCCCCCCCCCGCTCTGCAACTCTGTGTATTTTTGCGAATTAGACTCTTGTTGGGGGAGGGGCGTTTTTATTGTCGTTCGCTTTGGCGCCCGGGTTGTTACGTGTCATAGGAACGGAATCCACAGTCCGCAGGCTCGATCCGAGCTCGGACGGTTTGGGTGGCTTGTTGGTTCGGGCCTTACGGTACCGATCCCAAGGCCTTGGGAGTGCGTCTCTTGAGGCTCCTTCCCCCCCCCCTCCCCAGCCCAAGATCCACTCGATCTACACCGAATAGTAATCGCCCAGGCTTCGTGAGGCAGGAAAGCCCAGCTTTCATTTCTCGATCGCACCGTCGTGCCGCGCCCGGGCGTTTCGTTTTTTTTCCCGGCTGCCTTCTTGAAAGTGTTATGCAATGCTTGATTAGGAGGGAGCTTTCGGCTTGCTCACCTACGCGTTTGGAGAGGGGAGGGAGAGAGAGAGGGAAAGAGAGAGAGGAAAAAAACTAGGATCTCCTGGGAAGCCCGAGGAAAAAGTCCTGCCCAAGTTGAGGGACGAAACAAGCCTCCCCTCCCCCCTCCTCGCACACATGCCAGGGAGAGAGGCCTCCCCGCCCCGGGAGCGAAGCCCCCGCTCCGCGCTCCCCGCCCACTTCTCTCGAGCGCGGCTCTGGCTGGCGAGGGGAGCCCAGCTGTTGTCCCTTCTGCGGAGGCCGCCCGCTGTTGCTGCTCCTTTCAGGAACTCGCAGTCCTGCTCCAGTTTGACTTGTTGACTAATTTCAAGTTGTCGAATAGCTCGCGTGCTTATCATAGTTGCGGTTGGCTTCAAGCTGCAGACTCGCTTGCTGTCGGGGACGGGGAGGTGTGTGTGTGTGGGGGGGGGGAAGAGCGGGAGGCTCCGCGTCAGCGCGTCCTCCGCACAGGAACTCCACACAGAGTTGGGCTCGGTTTTGTCCCCGAGAACCGCGCCAATTCTGCGCAATCGAAGCGGCGAGCCCCAAGCGCAGCGGCGTCTCCCTGCCTTTTCTCGGCTGCCCGATTTGTCTTTCGGAAGCGAGAGTTGGCTTGGCTCGGTTGCCGCCTTCTGTTTTTGAAAGAGTCGCCTGCGTGATGTAGGCGGCGTGTGCTGGAGGCTGAAAGGCTGGAGCCAGGTTTCTTTCCTCTGCTCCTCCACTAAGATTGGAGCAAGCATAGAACGGGTTTGAGGTTGGTCTCAACCCAAAAACCAGCCTCGGTCCGGAACATCCTGGCCAGCAATCTCCCAGCTTTCTATAGAACTGGCACGATAAGAGCCGATACGCGCAGAGTCCAAGAAAACCCACTCCCCGGCCTTTTCGGATGGTTTCCAGAACTAGAGTACGACCCCGGAAGGTGCACCACGTAAGCCATAACTGCCACTGGGCATGTGCAGAGGGCAGCCCCAAATCATTACGGCTCACCGGAGGGACTCAAGCCGGTCTCCATCCCAGGGCGCGTGCAAGATGAGGGCTGGAGCCAGCACGTTACCTTTTCATTTCGAAGGTACAGCCTTCCCTCGAGTGCCCCATTCATCACCTTTATTTATTGACGGATTGTTCGTAAATTGATCCGCTCTTCCCAAGCCCCTCTCGCAGCCGAGTCGGGCGGGAGGGGTGGGGGAAGGAAAGCGACGTTGACTGCGCCTGCTGTCCCCCTTTTCTCTCCCTGGCGTGTGCGGCCGGGCTGGGTGGGTGGGTGACCGCGCGCTCGTGTTGTCTTCTGCGGCAAGCAGCAGATTTGTATTAGCATAGCTGATCTCTTGGGACAAAGGCACATGTAAGGGAGAACGGGGCCCTACGCCCCGCCCTCCTTAGCTGGCCCAGCGAGGGGGCATGTGTCGCCTGCCTCCCAGGCCTTCTGAGGGAGGTGGGGCGGAGGGGAGTGGAGAGCAGGCAGCAGCAGCAGCAGCAGCAGCAGAAGCAGAAGAAGAAGAGAAAGGAGGGAGGGAGACGGAGTGCCTGCCTGCCTTGCCTGCCTAGGGACATAGGCGGGGCTTCCAACGTGAGCCAAAGGGCAAGGAGCTTGCAGAAGCCTTTCCTCGCGTCACTCTCTCCGCCTGGCAAGTGCTGGAAGCGCAGGCTGCTGCTCTTCCAGCGCTCGCCTGCCTGCCTGCTCCCTCCCTCCCTCCCTCCCTCCTCCACCACCACCACCACCATTGTATAATGCTTCGTGATCGCCGCAGCCACAGGAAAGCGGAGGCTTAAATCCTCCCCGAGCGGCATTCGCTTCCCCGCCCCCCACCCTATTCCACCTCCTCTGTCCCACCGTCAGCCCCCCTCGGGCGAGGAGAGTGACATATGGAGCGAGTGGAAGATTAGGAGCGTGCAGCGGCAAGCAGACCCTGATGCTTTTAGTTCTCAGGAGGAACTGCATGTGGTAAGTTCAACTCGCCGCTGAAGAGGAGCGGGCCAAAGTGGGCGAGGGGGGGGGTTCGTCGTCGCCAGGAGTCACGCACAATCCAGCGGGGGATGTAATTGACTCGGTCAGCAAAGTGGGGGATTAGAGGTGTGTGCTGGGTGGGGGGGCGGGGGCAGGGGCAGGGGCGGCGAGATGTACTCTAGACAAATCTCGGGGGCCCTGGCTTAATAAATGTCTTCCTCGTAAGCCGATGGGGCGAAAGACGTCCGCCAGAAAAGCTCGGGAAACTCGGCTCTTCTGTGTCTTGACTGGATTCCCCCTGTAAACCCTTCGGAAAGCGATCTTCCTCGCCTCCCGAGAGACCGATGGGCAGTAAGAAGAAGGTTGGCTGAGTTACTTTTCTGGCCACAAAACCCACCACTGAATCCCGGCGTGCAGAGGGATCGGAGGGTCCGATGTGCCTTGAAGCAGGTGTGTGTGTGTGTGCGTGCCTACTCGTGTGTGGCTTACGGCAGGAATGTAACTGCACGTTTTGTCGCTCTCTTACTCACTCTCCGAGTGTGATATATTGGGAGTTTTTCAGAGCCATCTTTACAGTGCAACTTGGTTTTGCTTTTGACAATTTTCAGTGGCTGCTGTGGAGTTCGAGATGCAGAAACTGCTTACCAGTTTCTCTGATGTTGGAGAAAAAAACAAATGTGGGGGTGGAACAGAACCTTAAACTGGGGTTCTAAGTGAGGAAAACCCAACTCGGAGCATTTGTGCATTATTTGTTCGTTTGATTAGGACATGATGGCCTGCTGAGGAGGAAGTTTAAAGAGCTGTCTCTGTGTTGTACAATTAACATTTTAGCCTGGTTGTATGTATATTCCAACTGGTTATTAAAGAGCTGGATTAATCTATGTCTTGGTATGGGACAGAAGCATTGATATAAATGGAAAATCATAGTTATAATTTTGGCTTCCTAAAAGCTGCAGTACGTTTAAAAGCAACTCTTGAATATGAAATGCAGAGTTTTATTCCTTGAATCACATAGAGCAGGGTCACCACTGAGCAGAAATTGGCAAGACTAATTGAAACAGCTCTCCAACTTTGTTTCACTTGACTGAAAGTTCATGTAAGTAAGATCTTGCAAAAAAAAAATGGTGATAGTGACCATTCAGAATTCTTAATCGGAGTCACCCCCTCCAGTTTGCTCCCTTGAGATCCCATAGCACTGCTGTTCCAAAGAAACATGCTTCTTTTGGCTTCTGTGAAGTTTTATAAATGCTTGGAGTAAAGGCCCGATTCCACTGCCATATCAAGTATACAATTAGGTTTATTCAGTGACTGACTTTGGGTTTCTTTTGGTTGAAAGTGGCAGAAAAATAGTGTTGAGTTAGCCTAGACTTTGTATCCAGGTGTTGGCTCAAAGATCAGCCTTGTGTTAACCACTCCCCCTCCCACCTAGCCCATGACACTGTAAATCAGCCTTTATAATGTACTGGCCTCCAGGCACATTAGGTTACAAATTCTGCTTCCACAGTCAACAGCTGTGCCAAGTAGAGAAGATGGGATCTGTAGTCTTTTTGGAGGTTATGGGTTGAGAAAGGCTACTGTGTTGATTCAGTTGGGCTATGGCCTGTGCTACTCAAAGAGAATTCTTGCCCTTGATTTCATTCAGCCTTTCTTCTCTGGCAGCCTCGCGTTCTTTAAATTTGTGGCAAATCGGGTATTTTTATTAGGGATACAGAAAAGATGGCAGGAAGAAACTGTTCAATTGTTTATTCTGTTTTATTCATTGTCTGATGCAGTAGGAAAGAATTTTTAGTATTTATTTTACTGGAGTATATATGATACATGTATTGCAAAGCAAGGAAAAGGCACTTCCTTCTCTCATCCCCGTTCTCCCCACCCCCCCTTACCTTTGCAAAAGCTTCTTGAAGAAAATTCGGTTGTTTTGCTTTTTTTAGGGCAACTCTTTAAAGCAGCCCATAACCCAAAGAATTGTAGATTGTGTAGACAGGTGCTAGCTACATTTGTGTTCCTTGCACTTTAGGGCATCTTTCAGAATTGAATCTGAAACTTTGCAGTGCCCTGCTATGTTCTTTCTTCTTGAAGTAATAAAGCAAACTGGTGTCCATAGAAGGAAACCAATTTTAAGTTTAAGAGGAAGTATTTTCTGACTGACAGTGTATTGGGGATGAAGAAGGGATTAACAGCTTTGATGCCAGACAGGTATATGAGTCTGTATCCTAGGGAACACTTCCATTGTTCAAACAGGAATTGTAGCTGCAATGAGTTTCTTCCTTTGGGAAGCTTTATCTGCATCATTTAATAAAAGAAGTTTGTCTTCAGGAGGAGGAAATAAGAATTTTCCAATATTGTAATTATGTTTATTGAGATTTGTACCAAGTGTGTAACAGAACAGTTCCTAAAATGTTCTGTGCTACATTTTTTTTCCTCCTGATACTTAAAATAGATGGGAAAACCTGTTCTAATACAACGATTTTTATTCTGAATAAGACAGCTCGTACAAGTAGAGTCCTGTAAAAGTACAAAAACTTCATTGATATACTGTGTTCACACGTTTATCTTTTAAAAAATGTTTCACTTTAAAAAAAAATACAGTATGGCTCTTCCAACATAAAAAACAGGTGAAAAAAGCTTATATTGAGGAAAACTACTTTAGTCATCTAGATACCAGATTTTTAAAACCTACCTTAATGATGATAGTGATTTTGTGTATATACCAAAACAGTTTGCCCCTGAATTTAAAACTTCTGAAGGATCTTACATAATAATAGTCAGTTGAACTACTTTGCTGACAAATGTTCATTCTTCACTTTTGGTATGACACATCAGCGTGAAAAGTACAACGGAGCTTCGTTTGATATTTTGCACATTTTAAATGGAGTGAGGTTTGTGAATTTTGCATT